AAACCCATGAAATAAAATAAAAACATTTCAATTCCAATCCTTCATTCACATGTTGTCAAACTTCATTCACATCCCACCCAACTTTTACCAATTCGAATTCCAATTCCAATTCTATGCATTTGGTTGATGAACACTACACAAACACAAATTGAAAAAATATAAAATTTAATCTTCAATTATAGTAAAAAATGAAAAGGTAAACAAATGTCTATATATTGCATCTTAATATAGTAAGAAAATGTGTTGAGTATATGAAAAAATTACCAATGATCAAATGGATATTAGAGATCAATTATAGCATCAACATTATAGGTTGAAGTTGAAGATGAGCTTGACTCCAAAGTACCTAATTAGAAGTCAAGAAGAGAAGATTATTAAAACTTACATTAGAAAATGAACAATACAAATAAAAATGAAGATAAATAAATTCTCATATTACCTGAGTCATATTGCTCAAATTCTTCCACATCATCCATCGCCTTTCGAAGAGAAATTGGAAGGTTGCTTCGAAACCAATTTTGAGTACATATAAGAGCTTCAACCCATAGAAGGCGAGAGTGAACTACGAAATGGGTCAAGAATACGTCCTCCCGTACTAAAAGCCGACTCCGATGCAACGGTAGAAATAGGCATGGCCAACACATCCCTAGCAAGTTGTGATAACACCCTATATTTGGTTGCATTCAACTTCCAATAATCTAAAATCTCAAATGTTTGATTCTTTGCAAAATATTCAACCTCGGATAAATATTGTTCCAATTCCAACTTAGATCCACTAGTGCATCGCCCCTCCAAATAGGAATTAAATTGGGAGTCAACTAAAGAATAGGGATCATCATCATCATCATCTTCCACCATATTCACAACTTCACTCACACTTGGAAATTTCTCATTTGAAGGATAAAATGTGACATAATGGCTATACAAACGACTCAAGCAACTCTTAACCTTGTCTACCATCTCTTCCACCTTCCTATTATCTCCAAGAAACAAATTGGAAAAACAAAACTCCAAGTATGTCATTTTTTTGGTAGGATCAAGAACCACCGCAACATACAACAACAAATTGATTTTGCTTCCATCTCCCCAATACTTGCTAAACTTTAGCTTCATAGTCTTTGCCATTGTGCTCAAAATATCATCCTCCTCCAAAATTAATTGGTTAATTTTGCTTTCAATAACAAACATCTCTTTGTAAAAAGCATTGGAAGTAACAAAGAGAGACCCGGAAAATTTCTTGGTTGCAACATAAAATAATTTTAGAAACCTCAAAACAATTCTACACTTTTTCCAATCCAACTCATTCGGACTTCTTCTTATGCCACCATCAACATCCTTAAAATAAGGTTCAAAGTTGGAATCTACTAACTTTAATCGGTTAAAAGCCATTTCATACTTTTCGGCGGCCTCTAACATCAAATAGGTAGAGTTTCACCTAGTTGGTACATCTAGGCATACAAGAGCTTTTGAATCAAGTTTGAGTGTGGCCGCACACTTCTTAAAAACATCATGCATATGAGGAGAAGACCTCACATATCTCACCGCAAGTCTAATGTTGGCAATAGAATCATCCATTTCTTTCAACCCATCACTCACAACGAGATTAAGAATATGTGCACAACAACGCATATGAATAAACTCATGTTGCAAAATAGTCCCCTTCCAATCTTTGGTTATCGTTTTCAAATATTGAATGGTAAGATTATTTGAACTAGCATTATCAACTGTTAAGGTGAATATGCTATCAATGTTCCACTCAATTAAACACGACTCAATTTTTTCGACCAAATGTTTCTCCTTTGTGATCCTCAACTTGTTGAAAATTTATGATTCTTTTTTGAAGTTTCCAGTTATCATCAATGAAATGAGCAGTCAAACACATGTAACACAAATTTTGAATTGATGTCCAAGTGTCCGTAGTAAAGCAAATTCTACGACCCTTCATGGCCTTCTTTAACTTATCCCTTTCATTCTTGAATATATTGAGCACTTCTCTAGATATGGTTTGACGAGAGGGAATTGGTGTGAATTTGGGTTGCATGACATTACAAAATCTTCTAAACCCAACACCCTCCACAAATCTAAATGGCAACTCATCAATGACCACCATCTCCGCAAGAGCCCTTTTACAAGTATCAAAATTAAAAATTGTTGCTACAACCTCAACACCCTCTTCATTTTGTTTCGGTTTAAGATTTAATGTTTGTTGACCATCTGTATCCCTATTTGGATATTCTTTACAATTGGGTGTATGACTCCTCAAATTACTAGTCCCATGAGTTCTAGAGTCAGCCATATACTCTTTCTTACAATATTTACATACGGCTCTACGCTTCCCATCGGTCCCTACAACCTTGTCAAAATGATCCCAAACTGTGGATGGTGCTCTCCCCCCTCTACCCTCACTCTTTCTCTTTGGATGTCTAGGAGGCTTAGGTTCAGGTTCGGGTTCGACTAAGAGGGGATTCATTTGAGAATTAGAGGATTCCGGCGGTACAAGATTGATTGCGGGAGATTGAATACTATCCTCCATTTAAACTGGATTACAAAAACAGTCAAGGATTCAATTTTAATTCAATCAAACAGATTAATTTAACAGATTTAATCAAAAATTCCCTAAAACTCAGGCTGTGCAGTTCTGCAACTGCAATGCATTAAAAGGAAAAAGTTCACCTTCTAGAAGAAAGACATTATAGGAGTTGGAATCATCATCATAATTTATGTATTACATATAAAAAAAAGTAATCACAGAAACTTAAAATGGCCATGTATTTACATGCACTTTAAGGATGAAAACTTGTCCACAATATCAGCATTATGACTACTAAAATGCACTTTAAAATACAACTTGGTAGGCATTTATAGGCTAAAATGCACTTTTAGTCGTTTTTTATTAAAATTCAGTTTTTGATTAAAATTCCCTAAAAACAGGCAGATTTAAAATTCCCTAAAATTCAACAGATTTAATCAAAAATTAATTCCAAAAAACAGAATTATTTTTAATAACAGATTGAATTCCAAACAGATCTATGAAGTTGCAAACAGATCTATGAATACCAAAAGTGTAAAAACCATGCTTCTATACAAATTCAATACAGATCCAACACAGACAGATCTATACAAAAATCAATACAGATTGAACACAGACAGATTTAAATCAACACAGACAGATCTATACAAATTCAACACAGACAGATTTATACAAAAATCAATACAGATTGAACACAGACAGATTTAAATCAACACAGACAGATCTATACAAATCAACACAGACAGATCTATACAAATTCAACACAGACAGATCTATACAAAAATCAATACAAATTGAACACAGACAGATTTAAATCAACACAGACAGATCTATACAAATTCAACAGAGACAGATTTAAATCAAAAAATCTGTTGCTTAAATCAAAAATTAAATCAAAGATTATATATTCCAAACAAACAAACACAGACAGAGATCGGGGCGAGAGAGAGAGAGAGAGAGAGAGAGAGAGAGGCTTACCTGTGAGAGAGAGCCGATCGGTGTGGATGCAAAACCAGAGTAAGAGACTGAGATGAGAGAGTGAGGGAGATGAGATAGTGAGAGAGACAGATCAGAGTCAGAGAGAGACAGATCTCATATGTTCGAAAAAAAACCACAGATCGGGGAGAGAGAAACATAGACAGAGATCAGAGAGAGGGTCTTTACCTGTGTGCGATGCGATGAGGTCGATCGATCGGTCGATCTTGTGAGAGAGAGATTGCGATTAAATGGATTAGTCGGCGATTCAGTGAGTATTGGCGACTAAAGGATTAGTCGCTAAATGTATGATTTTGAAAAGTGTAAATCACTATTGGCGACTAAAATGTTGGTCGCGAAAGAACTGCTTTTTGGCGACTAAAAAAGTTTTAGTCGCCAATACCTTTGCCGACCATCTATACGCGACAAAACCAGCGACAAAAAAAATTAGTCGGGGAAAGTAAAAAGTCGACTTTTGGCGACTAAAAACGGACTTTTGGTTTTTAGTCGCCAAATGTGCTTTTTCTTGTAGTGAGGTTTGCAAAGTTGCTTTCAGATGAGATGGGCGGGTGAGGGTCAAACCCGCAACCCGCCCGCAACCCGAAATTTACATAAAATCCAAACCGCACCCTACCCTAATGTATTTGCGAAACCGCCCATACATGCGCGGTTCGGATCGGGTAGGGCGGTTTGGGCGGTTCGGATGACCCTATGCCCAGCCCTAGTACTGAGAATAATAAGAACTCATTATGAGAATTGCCAATATCAAACTCATGTAAAAAGTCATTATATAAGACATTTGAAGGACAATTCTTATACAAAGTGAGATTTTTATTTCATTTTTTTTTTTAATCAGCGAAAAGAACTTTATTGAATAAGAACCAAGGAGGAAACCTTACATCTTACATCAATAAAGAAAAAACAAGGATGGCGCAAGAAAGCCACCCAAAAGAGTGCTAACACATGCCTAGGGCTAGTTGATAAGAGTTCAACCAGCAAAAGAAAGACACAACATCACACAACAGCAGTAGCAGATCCAACTAATGAACACACAAAAATCACCCCAACACATGTCATCAGTGTTATGGTAACTAAAAACAGCAGAAGCATACTGCAACTAATGGACACACAAATAATCACCCCAACACATGCCATTAGCTTAGCAGCAGCAGAGCAGAGCCACACATCAGCAGCAGCAAGCAACTCTACAGAGCCACACACCAGCAAAGACACACACCAGAACAGAACCACTCACCAGCAGAGCCACACACCAGAACAACACAACAGCAAGGTAGTAACAAGCAACTAAAGGGCACATAATAGATCACCCCACAGAATAGCAAAAACAGATCCACACACCAGCAACACCAGCAGTAGCAGATCCACACACATGCCATCAGCTTCACCCTCACCAGCAGCACCAGAACAACACATCAGCAGCAGCAGAGCAACTCTATGGAGCCACACACCAGCCGAGCCACACACCAGAACAACACAACAGCAAGGAAGCAACAATCAACTAATGGGCACACAAGTGATCACCCCAACACACCCCAGCAAACCAACACAGCAGCAGCACCCACCAGCAGAGCCACACAACAGCAGTAGCAGAGCGACAATTCAAAGCCCCTGATGGAATCCAAATTATACAGCAGATCATTGATTGAACAATCCACCCCTTTATTGTGATACTTCGCCAAAAAGGCAATGTGTAACTTGATGGACTCACAAACTTCACACCAGTTAGCCCCTGAACCAGCAAATTTGATCTCATTCCTAGCCTTTCACACAAACCACATAACCACAGATGGCAAGGCATCTCACATACTCTGAAGCACTTTCTTAAATTTAAAGTCACTCCACCAATCCAAAAGCTGAGATACATTATCAAGCACAACCCACACCAAACTCCACCATTTTACCAAGTCAGACCAGATTCTCCAAGCAAATTGACAATGAAGAAGAACATGACACATATCTTCAGCACAGGAGTTACAAAAGCAGCATAGAGAGGGACCACTGGGATCAAGAACTCCAATATTCTGAAGAAACACAGAAGTTTTGAGTTTGCCTCTCCATGCCGACCAACAGATGAATTGCATTTTAGGTGGAGAGATGCCCTTCCAAAGCAAACTAGGCACCAGAACACTTGATCTGTTAGTGCAGGAAACCCATTCATAAGCTAATTTCACTGAGTAAACCTCTGAGGCACCAAAAGTCCACACCAATTTGTCCTCAACACCAGATCTTAACACTGGGCCAGAATTGAGCAATAGAATAAGATTAGAGAGATCTACAAATTCCCAGGAATAGAGTCTTCTTCTGAAGTTAAACACCCCCTCATTAGGAGAAGACCTCCTACTCAAAATAACAGAGACAGATGCCTCTTTATCCTGTGAGAGCATAAAAAGTCTGGGGAAAGCCAACTTTAAACAACCGGCACTAGTCCATGAGTCATTCCAATAAAAGCACCTATTCCCATCTCCTACTTCAATTCTAATATAAGAGTGCAGAAAATCAAAGAAGATAGGCTTAGATACAACTACTGACAGTATGTCAGACCAAACTCTAGAACCACTGATCTGGGAATCAGTTGAAGGCAACCAAGATTTTGGATCATACTTGTATTTGCTGCAAATAATTTCTTTCCACAAAGCCTTCTCCACACACCCAAACCTTCACCACAACTTAGCCAGAAGACACAAATTCACATCTCTAATCCTTCTAATACCAAGACCATCATCTCTCAATTCTTTAGTAACTTCAGACCACTTCACCATATGAACCTTTTTCTTAAGATCAGAACCCCCCCATAAAAAGGAAGCCTGAATTCTATCAAGTTCTTTAGCAACACCTTCAGGTAACTTGAACAAAGATAAAAAATAAACGGGAAGATTGCTCAACACCGATTTGATCAAAGATAATCTTCCACCAAAAGACAGATGCCTTCTCTTCCAGCTGGCAAGCTTAACTTTAAACTTCCTAACGACAGGAGCCCAAGTATTTTTGAGTCTAGGACTAACACCTAGAGGAAGACCCAAAAAAGAAATAGGAAGCACACTTTCATTTTTTTGGAAGTGCCGAATCAAATTTGGGTGACCATATACAAAATAAAATTATCAGCCCGTTCGGTAACCTAACAAAAAAAAGTTATTTTTTAATTAAATTGTTTGTCATCAATTAAAAAAGTAAAATCTTATATTAATTTTTTACTTAAAACTAATAACTTTTTAAACAATTTCTCATATACATTAATTTTTTTTTAACTTCTAAAAAAACTCACTGCTGGAAAAATGACTTTTAGCAGCGTTTTTAAAAACGAAACGCCGCTATATGTCTGGAAAACGCCGCTAATTTATTTAGTGACACTTACCACCAAACGCCGAGGACGCGGCCGTCGCTGTAAGTTCATGACGTTTTAAAAACGTCGTAAAATTAGTATAGGCAGCGCCGCTAAATGTGGCAGCCAACGGTAACATGATGTCACACAGGCATTCAGCGACGCTTCAAAAACGTCATAATAGCTTTTTTATTATTTTAAAAATATAACTATAGTGGCGTTTTGAAAAACGCCGCAATAGATTATTTTTTTTTAAACTACTAATTTTGTGAGATTTAATTTTAAAAATATACCTGTAAAATAGCAATAATGAATAAAACTTTGTATAGACATATATTTTTGTGAGATTACTATTCCCTCACGTTTATAATAGTATCCAATACAACATCCTTCAAGAAAAAAAATCCAATAAGTTCAATCCCAAAAAACCAAGCAGCCATCTCATGCACAGTTTCACATCATCCAACAACAATCTAAGATTATTATTATTAAGAAATCAATAAAATTTAGTAACTACAAAATTTAGTATAAAGTATAATTTTACAGGTATAAATCAATAAAATCTTATAATGAGGGAGCTTTGACACTCTCATAGATTAACTCCCATGGCACAAGTGATAATGGTCAATTAAATTATTTTTTTCCTTTTCAAAATAAACAAAGAAATCAAAATGAAACAGTGAACAGAGTTGTAAATTTATATATTTGACCAATCAAACATACAGTATATATCCTAATCATCTTACAACACTACACTCAACATACATATGTGGGAACACCATTAAACAGACTCATACACAACCAAATAGAGATTAGAATTCAAACACAGTTTCTAAAACACAAAGCAAACAGAAACCTGTAACATGTTTTGATAGAACCAAATATAAACTAGGTACTTCCATGACTCTGACCACCACTTGAAACCCAATCCAGGCCCTTACTTTAAAAGTTCACAGCGAAGTGTCTCCTACCATAGCGCACCAAAAATGTTAAAGCTTTGCCTATGATGGAGGGGGAAAAAAAAAGAAATGAGAACCAATATAATTTACAGAGGACTTACGAGTTTCGTCTCAACCGTAGCCTGAAAATGTGCAGTGTTCTCCCTGAGCCTTGCAATTTCTTGTTGCATGCGTAAAACTTCAGTGCTGAACTACTGTAGAATCCACAAAAACAAAATGCAAAGTGAGAACGATTATAGAGCAGGTGATAGAGATTCAGCAAGGTAAGACCCTTTATTAATTAAAATTAAGGTTCTAAAAGTTCAGCCACTTTTACTGACTAAAATAACAGAACCAAGATCCTTACCATTTCCCTATTTCAATAATTAGAACTTTTCAAGCTCTAGAGAACGTTGATATTTTACATCTATCTATAAAACAAGGTAAGGTGTATATATATATGTTTGAAGTGCTAAGTTTTGACAAGTAACAAAGAATCTCAGATCTCACAGAATTCAAATTCAGAGAGTTCCAAGTAAATTCAATATATAATTTTCAACATACACTTTGTTGTTTATGTTACCTCATAAATGGACAAAATTGTATTGGTTACTGGCATTAAATATCACAATCACATCTGAAACCATTGCCTCCAGGACTTGGTGATATTACATATCACAATTACACAACACCACCAATAGCATGATGCTGCCCAAAGGAACCAAGACATGCTTACTAGAATAACTAAACACTATCTAAACCAAGACATTGAGATAGTGCTAACCACAACTACTACTGTTCAAACTATGGTTTTCCTATATAAACTCAGCTGATCATCCTAATTGACAAAGTTGGAATTGATTCTATTAGTTGCATATGTCATTCCTTTCTCACACAATGACAGCAGGATGTTACCACTGTAGAGAAAGATTATTTCCAAGGGGCTCTGTGTATATGAGTAAATTGATGATAGTACTTAACCCGTAAGGTCTACTTTAAATACACAAAGGTTTCCCATGTGAGTTTGCAATGAACAAAGTAATCATTATAACAACTGGAGTGATCAACTGTTGCAAAAACATAAATGAATTATGTTGTTTCCGTGATTAAATGCGTTCACTAGTTTACCCAACCAGATAAGCATTGACTACATGAATATCAATCAAATGATCAAATGATAAACTAAAAGACTAATTGACCATAAAAGTTCAGTCCAAGATTAAGCTGGGAGTTTGCTCCTCTAATGCATAACCACACTTATGCCAAGTAAAAAGAAGAAGATGTGTAGGTAACTGCATTAGGGGAAAAAAGGTTATCTAATGATGTATAAATGGTCACAGAAACCACGTGTTCACTACACCTCCCAAAAATATCAAAAGAACACTCACGGCTTGCGACGAGAAGCCCAACCCGCATGTGCTTCAAACTGAGAAGGGCTGACCTGCTCACAAATGTTGAAATAGTAAACACCTCAATGAGAATCAAATAAAGATACAACTCAAGCAGCAAAAAAAAAGTACCACACTTTGGCAGCAAAAGCAAAATATTCCAAAACCCTTCTTATAATCTTCTGTGCATTTCTGTAGATGACAAGTAATCAGAAAACAAATACACATCACAACAAGGTGCTTCACTGGGAAAGGGTTGCTTCCACAAATAAAAAAAATATGTTAATTGTTTAATACATTTGATCTTTATAAAAAGCAACATAAACATTTCCTTAAACCAAAATAATAATATGTATGTGCTCGTCTTAACAACCTGCCCATGAACAAAATAAGCTAGTTCAGTTCCATCAGGTAGTGCATCATCCTGAAATACCAACTTGTGCAACCGCAAATCTCTTGAGAAAAAGACAAAAATCAAGTATTTAGTCCACTAAATCAGCCAACTTAATCAATCAAACTAGAAATGATGACGAAGATACATCCACACATGACACAACTTAACAACTTCAAGAACATATACTAACTTGCGAGTTAACCTCCCCCGAGTCTTGCTCCGTGATGAACTAGAGGAGACACTGTCAGATGACTTTGGAATGGAAATAATTGTTGGTGACCTAAAATTATCAAGGCAAAATATATCAAAATCAAATATATATATTGCTCAATAAAAGAAAATTATGTACTATGTTTTATTCTGCAAAACAAATGGGAAAAACTCTAATTTAAATGCTAGCAAACACATGCACATGCAAAAACACAAACTATTAAAGAGTGACTATATTTACTATTTAGTATTTACCAGCAACAAAGAACTCAAAATCAGTGGTTTATATTTCAATTATACTTGTTGAACCACTGATTGCTGCCAAAGCAGGGCTTACTCACACCTTCAAAACAACAGTGGACATCATATGTAACAGTTTGACAAAATTATGGCCATGGCAAAATCAAATCCAGTGCTAGATGCTCATTTATGAGCAATGATCACCGTATCACCTGATGATTGTGTGTATGACTAGTTTAGTCCCCATTGGATATGGGTCTGGAAGGGATAAATTGAGTCCTAACCTAACCTTTCTCATAATTTGCACAATATTACGAGTCTCTTTAGCAGAAAACATGGCAATTATTTCACCATGCAAAATCTACCTGCTGTGCAGTACATAAAGGCCCAACTCCAATGCATGGCTCTGGTTTTACAATGATTCCGAAGCTGGTAATCCAAACAAATTAAAGTGTGTAATGAAGCAAACAGGTAAGATTATGCCAAATTAACTGTTCCCAAGGATAAAATATTAACACATCTCTTAAATATTTTAAGCTCTGTGACCAGCCTATTCCATCTCAATTTTGTCTTCTGTCAAATTTTACAACTTCCTTGTCCAAAATTTTCTTCCAAATTTCACCCCCTCCCTAATATTATATATAATACCACAACCTTACATTTATCTTTTCTTATTGGGTTAGTTTCACTTTTATCTCCTAAACTAAATAAATAAATAAAAACACAACCAAATAGGCCTCAAATCATTTCCCTTTTCAAACCATATTCAAACATAACATTAAAGGATTAGAATGCATTTTGAAATCATACATACTAAAAACAGACTTGACTAACTCATGCTCAACAACTAAGGTCTTTTTTCCTCAGGTTTTTTCCTCTTGTTAAGATAGGGCTAGTTGGAGTGACCTCAAGTACTTTTGGCCTGTTCATGAATATACCACTACTTTAAGATATCAATAGTATACTTTCTGAAATATGAGGGAACATGAATACATCTGGAATTATACATATATACATATATATATATATATATATATCCATAGTACATATAGAGACAGAAATGAACGAATGAATTTGAACACATACGGGAATTAGCAAAAGAATTGAGGAATGTAGATAACCTCTGCAATTGCTCTAAGCTTCAATGCCAATTCGCTATAGAGAAAAAAAAAACACATATATAAATCTTCGGTCTTCAAGATTGAGAGATCAAGAGAGAGATTAAGAGACCGAGAGAGAGAATGAGAAACCTAAACAGAGAGATCCATACTTGTGAACCATGGTGGCGAGCGTGAGAGAGAGGTAGGGCATGCGAGAGCGAGAGAGAGAGAGCTGGAGCAATTGAATAAATTGGGGGAACAAATTTATATATATATATATATATTAAGAAAAGGAAACAAATTGGGAAAAATAAATTAGAAATACAACTAAAACAAGTAGTTTTACATCATTACCTCATTCATATTCCCCACCAATAGCTAACAACAGAACATAAAGAATCTTCATGTTACTGGTGAAGTGACTCCAGTTTGCATGAAAAGTGCAATGCTATTGAAATAACTGAGGAACAAGTAGCTACTAAGTGAACTCCATTTCAAATTTTATGCAACAGGTAACTAGAAAATGCTATGAAAGTTGATTAATCACACCTTTATCCAATTTTCCATTAATGAAAATATTAAATACATTCCCATTTGATAGCCAAAGAGGCTTCTTTTGGCTTAGGAGGATGCACCACTCGCTGTTTCCTGTTGATCGACACACCTAGAATTGAAAGCCAACACAAACAAACGAAAATCAACAGAATCATTAACAAAACAGAATCAACAACCAACACAAACAAACGAAAATCAACAACCAAATCAGATTTACGATAGTCATATATATATATATAGAGAGAGAGAGATAGAAGGGGGTAGATCCGAACCTTTCTGCCTTCTCTCAATGCCTTGATCTCCGCATATGCAATGCCTTGATTTGCACAAACGAAAATCAACAACCAAATCAAAAGATAGACCTTCGCAATAGAGAGAGAGAGAGAGACCTTCGAAATCAAGAGACAGAGAGAGCTTTCAAATCAAAATCGAAATCAACGAGATGTCATTCAAATATCAGTTCAGCTTGAGAGAGAGAGAGAGACACGGATAGAGACAAAAACAATGGAGCTCACCGATCTGAATCGCTGAGATGAACTTCAATTTCGATTTCGATTTCGATTTCGATTTCGAGAGGGAACTTTGAAATGGCTCTGATAAATCACCGATCTGTATTTCAAATTTTATGCAACAGGCAACTAGAAAATGCTATGAAAGTTGATTAATCACACCTTTATCCAATTTTCCATTAATGAAAATATTAAATACATTCCCATTTGATAGCCAAAGAGGCTTCTTTTGGCTTAGGAGGATGCACCACTCGCTGTTTCCTGTTGATCGACACACCTAGAATTGAAAGCCAACAAAAACAAACGAAAATCAACAGAATCATTAACAAAACAGAATCAACAACCAACACAAACAAACGAAAATCAACAACCAAATCAGATTTACGATAGTCATATATATATATATAGAGAGAGAGAGATAGAAGGGGGTAGATCCGAACCTTTCTGCCTTCTCTCAATGCCTTGATCTCCGCATATGCAATGCCTTGATCTGCACAAACGAAAATCAACAACCAAATCAAAAGATAGACCTTCGCAATAGAGAGAGAGAGAGACCTTCGAAATCAAGAGACAGAGAGAGCTTTCAAATCAAAATCGAAATCAACGAGATGTCATTCAAATATCAGTTCAGCTTGAGAGAGAGAGAGAGACACGGATAGGGACAGAAACAATGGAGCTCACCGATCTGAATCGCTGAGATGAACTTCAATTTCGATTTCGATTTCGATTTCGATTTCGATTTCGATTTCGATTTCGAGAGGGAACTTTGAAATGGCTCTGATAAATCACCGATCTGTTCGCTAAGACCAAGCTGAATCTCTGAATCTCTAAATCACCGAGCTGAATCTCTAAGATAATTAGGGTTTAGACAACAGAGAGAGAGAGAGAGACGGTAGCTCACCGATCTGAATCGATTTTGAGAGAGGACTTCGAAATGGCTCTGATGAATCACCGATGTAAGATCTTCGAAATGGCTCTGAAGAATCACCGATGTAAGATTTTGAGAGAGTGAGAGCGAGAGTCAGATTCAAAATAAAAGTGAAACAGGGAGAGGGGAGCGTGCGTGACAGAACCCATTTCAAGGCGTTTATAAACATCTTCTGTTCCTGAAACGGCACCGTTTTGATTAGAGAAAAATGCGAGGTTTTTCAAACGCCATTAAATATATTACAAACAGTGACGTTTTAAAAAACGCCATTAAACATACGCCACCAAAATAGATATTTCTTGTAGTGACTATAAAAAAAAAAAAAGGCTAACCCCAAACCAACCTTACATATATAGTGTGTATATATATATATATAAATTAGTAACATTTAGGAAAATTTTGGAGGGAGCCCTAGGGCCCTCCCTCCGCCCCTGGAAATGGTAATGTGGAAGTGATCAGATTGCTTGGGAATATATACAAGTACATGCGTTGTTGCTGCCTTTGGGAGAGAACACATTGATTTGGAAACGTGTAAATGGTGTTTTTCAACTTATTTGTGACTCATACAAAATGGGATTTCAAAAAAATTTAAAAGTGCATAATCGGCTTTGGGGATCATTACATGAGATATAAAAAAGAAAATTGAGATTATAGATACATGGGAAATGCTAACAAGTGTCCCTTGAGCACTAATAAAGTGAATTTAATGTTGTATTAATTCGTCTTGATAATTTTTTATTTTAATTACTCATTAAATTGAATGTATTTATTATTACCTGTTTCACTGACTTGAATTTGAATATAACTACTTTGTAATTAATAATGCTTTTATATTATCATGCATAAAAATAATAATAATTATTTAATATTTAAAAAACTCTAAAACTCATTAAATATAATAAAATATTATTAATTATTTCATAACAACAATTGTTAGAATGACCCCTTCCTCCGAACCTGGAAATGGTTAATATGGCAGTTGGAGAATGCTTGGGAGTAAATCCAAGTACATGCGTTGTTTGCTGGCTTTGGGAGATAATAATATATATTGGGTTTGGAAAAGTGTAAAGATGGTTTGGCTCATTAATTAATTAGTGTGTTTTGCAAAATTGCGTGTACCCAATAAATCTAATAATTAAATGAAGAACATATATAGTTTTGAAAAATATTTTTTTTAGGGCAAAATTACACCGGTACACTGCTATACTTTGGTCGTTATGTCATTTTAGTTTTTATAATTTGAATTAATTTGATTTTGACTATAAATTTATAATTTTATCTTAATTTAATCTGATTAATTACGATCATTAGCATTTTTAAATAAAAGATAATAATCACACGGAGGGCATATATATCGTGCTTTTATTAAAAATAAAAGTATAAATTTACTCAACTGAGTAATAACCAATTGAATGATCATTTTCGGACAAAAATCTTAATAGACTTTATCGATTGTATCAAGTTAATACAAAAATCAAAATTGAATATCAAAATCAAAACAATTGAAACTGTGGAAACTTAACACGTACACATAAAAAAATAAAAACCATTACGTTTTACATGTGTTGATGAACTTAACTATTATAAAAAATTAACTTGGTATTCTTGAAACATTATATATAAAGTTTTTCTCTCCACCGGCATACCATAGCCGATAAAATGCCGATAAAAGTTTCTTCAATCATCGCATCCTTGTTTTGCTTTTTTTCCATCAAATTCAATAAAATCACAAACAATTAAATGGAGGGAACAACAACAACAACAACATCATACTGTAAAAATCGTCGACCACCCACTTATGGAAATCTCATTACAATTCTTAGCATTGATGGAGGAGGAGTTAAAGGATTAATATCCGGAGTTATTCTCACAAACCTAGAATCACAACTTCAGGTATTTGTAACCTCATTATAGCATCAATATGTATAACCTCATTATAGCATCAATATGTGTTTGTAATTTGATTGTTTTTCATAATTTTCGGTGATAATGATATTAGGAACTAGATGGCATGGAAGCAAGGCTCGCGGATTATTTTGATGTAATTGCAGGAACAAGCTGTGCCAGTCTTTCAACAGCCTTGCTATCTGCACGAAACAATGATCACCGACCTTTATTTGCTGCAAAAGATTTAGTGTCTTTTTCTCTCGACACCTCTCCAAAAAATTTCCCCCAAACAAAGTAAGAAACAACATTAAACTTGAACAT